TAAGTCTATTGTCTATATACTGTACTGTACAGGTATATGGAAGGAAATCAATTCATTGTAAATTCCAACCCACACGAAAAACCCAGATGCTCTTTTTGATTTGTGTGTAAAAATTTCACGTCTTTACCCAAACGCCTGTTCAGAAAACCCTCTCACGAGATTAGAGATACCAGTCTTGGGCCGCTGCATCCATTCAAATTTAAAATTTCAGAGATGACCGAGTTAAAGAAAAAATTAAATTAATATGCTGTAATGTAATTCATCTTTTCTCTCCACATAAAATATATGGTAACCTTCCCTGAGTACCTGGGCCATTACTTAAACTGTGATCTTGCTTTCTGGGTCTGACAAAATGCTCCACTGTTGGACAATGAAAACTCTTAATGAAACTATCCATGATGTGAAGGCCACCTTGACCATTACTGTACACTATCAAATAATCTGCAAAAAATGAAAGATCCTTGAAATCCCATTTTCTAGCTAGGAGCATACAGTATTCAGGCACTTCCTGTTAATGCACAACCATTATGAGAGCTTAGGGCTGTCAATTACCCCTTAACCAAGGGCTGGGGGAGGGAGTGATCTTACCCCTTCACTATGGGGACGCCTCTTTTCATATTTCATTTGGCTAACAACAGACAATTTTATTCAGCACAGAGGGGATCCCATGTCCAAGCGGACAGCAGCTATTACCCTAAAAAGGAGACTAGCTGTAAGAGTTACCACTAGAGGTGAATCTATAAAATCTGCCATGTCTACCCAGCCAAGACACTTATCACACCACCTACAGCGGCCATCCTGCTTCCAGAATAAATCTCCCATATTTGGTCTACAGTAGTCTTGTTTCCTACCATTCAGAGCAGATATATTTCTAAACTCTGTTGAGCTAAGAGACATGACTCAATCTAGTGATGTTTAAGTGGTACATTTCTAGGTGCTATCATTAAGTTAAGAAAGACACCTTTTCAGACACCGATCTTTCACGAAGTTGAGTTGAGATCCATTACTTGATAAAGAATAGAGATTACCTTTAAAACTGGGGTCTATAAGTAATCAAAGATTTTGTCTTCCAAAAATCAAGTTACTACTGCATTAAAGATTCCTTGTACACAAGAAGAATAAGCCATGGAAGGAATACGAAAAATTTGAAACAAGACCATATAAACCCTTCCCTCTAATAAGATCAAATTCATATATTTTCAGATTTGCCCACAGTGTATGCATGGGGGCTAGTATATTCTGTGCAAGAAACATTACAGCACCCAACTGGGAAGCATGCAGAGCTCATGATTGTGTTTATTCACTGAAGACAACTGTGAATCTCCTTATCCCTTGACCTGTGACCTTGATATAAAGACTACCAAAATCTACAAGATTCTTCCTCTACATCTAAAGGTTCTGTGTATGAAGTTCATATTGAAATGCCTTAAGCAGAAGTGAAGGTGTCATGCAGACATGGTTATATCAACATATGGACACAAAGACAGTCGAAAAGATGGATGGACAACTGGACAGCATGATGATTACATCCCCAAAACTTACTAAGTTTGGGAATAAAACATCAAGTCTAGACCAGGCAACTCATGTACAGTACATATTAAAAGGTTGAAAACTCAGGACCTATGACATTGGTAAACAGTAAGAACTTATACAACAATTAGTTGACTTTCCCACATAGACACTATTCTTGAGTATAAGAAGGGTCAGGGAGGCAGTGCCTACCAGTTAAAGCTGAAGGCTAGGAGTTATTGCCAGCCATCACTAACATGTGCTCCTAGACTATCAACTCTCTCAACTAAGAAGCATCAATTTGCAGGTTGAACCTCAGTTCTGGCTCACCTCAGCAGCAACCAGGTGGAGGAGGAGTCTGAATCAACTACGTATAGTACAGTAATTCAGAGTTGGCAATAAAATAGAATTTCAAGTTTAATCCCTCAAATGTAGCCCAAAACCTGACTTTGGTGACTCAGCCACCTGAGCCCTGATGAAAATATCAAGGAGACCCCAAAACTCTAAGTACAGTACTAGTGTAACATACACCTTGGTGAGAAATTCATCCTAAAAAAAAAAAAAAAAATAGAATGAAATGTGTTTATCTAAAGCTTGATGCTCAGAAAAGCTAAGGATGATGTGCCCCTGGGCCCAGGCATCAATGTAATGCTACCGTGATGAAATAGCTTACGGATGCTAACCGCATATCTAGGATAATCCAAGTTCTGCTCCAACTTAATACAGTACTGTAGCAAATGTAAATGGAATCCATAACACTAGGGACACTTCTCACCATATTCTCTGAATAGGAGGAGAAATTCACAAAACATTCTACCAAGAAAACCAAATCATGATGGTGAATCTAATTTACTGTGTCAGAGTCACTAGCATACTGTATAATTCTTATATTAGAAATACAGTGACCCCTCGTTTAACGAACGCCTCGGTTAACGAACTGCCTTCCATAAGGATCTTCAATTCGGTTAACGAATTTCTTACGAACCGACCTCAACATGTTTTCGCTTGCACTGACCGGGCAACCAGCTTTAGTATCAGTCCGCCAATACATTAATCGGTTCTAGGGCTTAAATTCCTTACTATTTTAGTAAATATCAAGAAGTTTATACTATTCAATAATTTTAAAAGTTTAATATTCAATTTTTTAGTCATTTTAACAATTATTGAACATAATTGAAGGTAAAGTGACTAGTTTAATGCGCGGCATCCAGCCTCTTAACACAGCAAACAGGTGTTAGTCTCTCTCTGTTTTCACTGGAGGTAACATCTTGCTTGAGACTCTCTTCAACTAAATGCTTTTTTTCTGTGTTTCCAAGCAAATTATTGGTCATTTTGAAATATATTTTACATATTCACAATATATAATGCAGTGCAGTGTTGATTTAAAGAAAATAATCTTGAATTACACCAAGAGAGCTAAAATTTTATGGGTGAAATGGCACCATGGGGTGACTTCTCTTTCACCCCAATGCCTTCTCTTCTTCCTTCTTCTCCACCCCCATTCTAAATCCCATCATCATCATCATCATCATTATCCAGGAGCCTTCTACATACACACCTCAAAGTAAGTGAACTTTTCTACCATTTTTGTTGAATTTAAGAAATTTTCGGTGAGCTGGAACCAATTACCCAAAAACCCATTGAAACAATGGTTTCGGTTAACGAACGACCTTCTGGAATGGATTGAGTTAGTTAACCGAGGGGTCACTGTATATTGTTCTGAAGAGAGAAGGGAACAGAGACTAATACTACTGTACCTTGCCTGAAAATCATGTGCTCTCATGATGATGATGATGATGATGATGATGAAAATAATAATAATAAAAATAAATAAAATAAATAAAAAATAATGGACTCTGCAAAATTCATCAATGTTGGCAAGTTCTTCCAAGGATGAAATTCTACAAAAAGAATCTGAAGTAATATTTTTTTTATGAAAATTCAAATTACTGTATTATTATTATTATTATTATTAGTATTATTATTATTATTATTATTATTATTATTATTATTATATATATTTTTTAGGGGTTAAAATAAAATTGCAGCAGTAGCAATAATTTCAGTGATCCACCAGACCTCCAGCCTATCTTGAGACATACAGTATATTCTGATTACCATTAAGTATTTCATGTGATAAAACAATTTAAATTATCTTAGCCTTCAGAACCCCAGCCACATTGAACAATCAATCTATCAATGTGCCAGCCCCCATGTCTGTGGGTTGCTGACCAAAGTCCTGCACTCTAAATGTTTTGAAGCTGTTTTTACCAATCCTCCCAGATTTTGCATCTCTGGAAATCATCTTTTAATGCCATTCATCCATTCCAATCTTTGCTCTCTTCCCCTTATCTTTGCCCATAAATTTTCTGTTAGTACTGTATCTCTTCACCCCTCATTTTCCCCTTTTCTATAAACATCAAGCATTTCTCTTCATATTTTTTGCCAATCTTAGTATTTTTTCATTTGTTTTACCGTCAGTTTAACTTATTGTTAGCATTCTATTCTAGCACATTTCAAAGGCCTCTAACCTCCTTCTGGTGTCTGCCGAGTGTCCATGCTTCTGAACCAAACAACAATACTAACTATACATAGCATTTTGGCAGCCTTTTCCTCAAATTGAAATTAATGTCCCCATTCATCACTGTTTTTGCTTACCCTATTCTTGTTTTGATTTCTTTTGCACATCTACCATCACAGCTAATGTTTCTTAAGTACACAAATTCTTCTACTTGTTTAAGTTCCCTGTTGTTTACCATAAATTTTACTTCAGGATTAATTTCTAATTATGAAACTAAACCATTACTGTACTTTCATTTTTAGAGCATTAACTCTTAGCCCATATTCTTCTCCTTTTTCCAATAATCTGTACGGTATCTTCTCTTATAAAGTACATTGAAAAATCTGAGACTCGTGAAAGATATGGTATATCTTAGCCCTAGCATTCAGACCCCAGCCATTCTTGACAAGTACCTCCTACATAATATACACCAAGTACATTACCTTCCCAAAAGAAACATTCGGAAAGATTTTAGCCCTTAAACCCCCAGCCATTCTGGAAGATATGTAAACCTCTGGATTACTTCCAATAACAATACCCCACTCTACTGTAATTTCTGATAAAATATTCAGAAAAACCTTAACGTTTACGGTAGACCAAAAGCTATTCTTGACAAAATATCTTCTCATTACTAATGAAATAGCAGTAAATATCATTTGCAACATATCACAACAATAAATAAAAAAAAATTCCTTTGTTATTTACACACATACAATATTATAAAACAGTGCTATCTTGGCTAACAAGCATCATTCATGTATTGCGATTGAAGCTCTTAACTGTTGATACAGTATTTAAAATTTAATAAAGATGTACAATACAACTTGACAGATAATAAACATAAACAAGTAGTATGAGTAACTGTAAACAAAATAGAAAGAGTGCACAATAAAAGTGACGAGGACAACACTGTATAATTGTAGCTACTTACTGTTTATCCTAGGAAACTCTGGTATTACGAACACCAACAGCCACCCTCAACTCCACCATCTCTCCCTCCCATATACAACACAACCAACACAACCAGTATGACCATCTTTCTGTAAACACATTAAGATATCATATTACATTTCAGGATTCAATATAAATTCTCTTTAATTTTGCTACTGTAAGTACCTGTACTTCCAACATACTTGGTTTGAGGACTGCACAATACAGCATTCAATTAACATACTACAGTTACTAAATATCTTTTTAATAACAATAACAAAAGATAATGTTTTATCAGAATAGCAGGGTTTTTTTTTTTTAACTATATCATACCACCAAGCACAATACTTCACAGATTTGCTCTAAGCCAAGCATCAAACAGCATCACCATTATTGGACTGTCATTAACTTCAACAAATGATTAATGATGTAAAATAAAACTGAATGACTGACCCTAGCTAAGCCCAAAACTAGGCAACTCCTGTTAATGTGCAAGCCATTTTTATGGGGTCTAACACAGTAAATTCAGTCTATAACTGGGAGCTGGGGGCTGATCTCAAATTTACCCATTCCTTCTTGTTACAGCTGTCCCTTAAAAAGATGAAATGCAAGTAAAAGTTGCCATATAGAGGCAGGAGCTCTACAAGACACCCATATCTACCTAGCCATTCCATACACCTCATTGCTTACAGTTACCAGTCAATCTGCCACACTGGATCAAATCTCCAGCTGACCACCAGTGCCACAAACCCAGAGCCAATTACTGTAGCTACAAGCTCAGGTAGAATACAAGACATCAGGATCAATCCTCCATTTCTGAGATGACACCCTTAACTAGACTGCTTTTGATAACAAATGCCAGCTAGAAAGTGGAAGGTGGTGGTACTATCAATACAGTATTCCAGGAATTAGGAAAGAAATGCACCTTACAGACATGTTCCCAACTACACAAGCAATGGTAGAAATTGCAACCCTTAACAATCCTGCACTGTTCAGTCCTTTCTGGAACCTCACAGAAAATATACGCCATTGGTAATTAGGGGCGGGGGGTCCAAATGGTTTCATCAAGTCTGGTTTGGAGATGTTCTGTAATACGTACAGTATTTAGGTTATCAACAGTGTTTGTATGCTCACATACATGTTTTGGCCTTGTACCTCCACTAGAACCATTTGCAGTTCCCAAGATGGAAAAAAAAAAAAAAAAAAAAAACATGATGTGTGTGGAAAACAAAACCAGAGGCCTGAGCATGTGGTAACCCGAAGTGGACTACATTTTGCATAACATGGGACAAGTGCAGATGGTAATTAAGAGGACTGCACCAATACTTGTTCTAATCCATTATATTCTAGCAGTTTAAATTTTCAGGGTTGAGCCTGAATAGCCATGTGGTATCAAACATATGAAGTGACTGAGACTGAACTAAGAAAAAGTTAAAAGTTTCAAAACTTCTTCCCAAAAGTGTGGATGAGCAACTAAAGGTCCAATTAGGGCTGGGTAATGCCATATTTTTTCTTGTCAAGCTCTGGGAGTGACTGTCAGGGACCTGATGATCCAAGCTTAGAAGACCTTTGGAGGTCTTAAATATAATGCCCATTTTCCACTTTCTAAGAGCGAATTGATAAAAGAGATGGAATCCAGCTGTAAAACTACTTACAAATCTGCTTGATGACAACTAGGACATCATAATATCAGGTAATCACAGCTTACACATGCAAGCATGGAAAATGGCAGTAAAATAACGATGTTGATAATTTCAGGGAGGGGGAAGTTGCCGTGAACATGTGTGCTTGACTTGAAGCCATATCGTGACGTCACAGCCGAGTTGATCCCTGACTTTTCTCTTCCCACAATGAGCTCACCTGCTAAGAAATCCCAGGTGCACACTACAGCCTCAGTGATGTCACAACTGATCCCTCCTATTTCTATTGGTCTATTTTCACAATGACCTGACCTGAAAATTTGTGTAATAGGTCCTGATTGTTTTGTAAGCAGAATTGTGCTAAAAATTGAAGTGAAACCATCAACATGACAAAGAAAAAAGAAAAAATTTCCAGGTTCTGCATACACCACTAGATGGAGAAGGGTGAGGGCAAAAGGCATTTAGACAGACATAAGTGATCTGAGTTGATACACAAAATAAATTTGCATGTTTTAAAATTATTAACTTTTCTATTAAAAATAAATAAATAGAGCAAGCAAGCAGATTTCCTCCAAAATTTGTCACGGCATAAAACAAAAACAAAATTACCTTCCATAAGAATCAATTCGATTAACTAACAAAAATTTGGTAACCTTAACGAAATTCTTACGAAAACATGTCAACATGTTTTCGCTTGCTCACCGGCTGGAAGCTTAGTCCGCCAATATAGTAATCGGTTCTAGGGCTTATATTTGCTTCCATTGGAGTAAATATCAAGAAGGTTGTGTTATTCAATATTTTTCCAAGTTTTATATTAAAATTATTAATCGTTTTAACACTTATTTAACATAATTGCAGTACAGGGAACTAGTTTTTGGTGCGCCCATCCGCCACTTCACTCACCCGCCAAGGAGTCAGTTTGTGTCTCTGTTCAGTGGAGGAAACATCTTGCTTGTGGGTCTCTTGAGCACAGAGTATTTTTACATTTTTACAGTACAATTATTGGCCATTCTGAAATTTATTTAACATATTGACAATATATAGTGCAGTGCAGTATTGATTTAAAGAAAATAATCTTGAATTACACCTAGTGAACTTAAAATTTTACTGGTGAAATGATGACATCAAGCATGGGGTGATTTCTCCTCCATCCCCACTTCCTTCTCTTCTCCCTTCTCCTCCACCCCCCACTTCTAATTCCCATCATCATCATCAACTAGGAGCCTTCTACATACACACCTCAAAGTAAGTGTGCTTTACTGCATTTTGTATTTACTTTGTATGCACTTTTCGGTGAGCTGGAACCAATTACCCAATATCCCATTGAAACAGTGGATTCGGTTAACGAACGACCTTCTCGAACGTATTGTGTTCGTTAACCAAGGGACCACTGTTTATACAGATGCTCCCCGACCTACGACTGGGTTAGGGACCCAAATCCAGGTCGTAAGTCGAAATGGTCATAAGTCGAAAATGCTTAAATAATACTTAGAAAATCTAAAATGGGTGTCTCTTTTTCTTCTCAGCACCACAAAACTCTCACTTTTATGCTTGCCAGCCATTTTAAAGTGAATTACAAACGAAAAAATTTTCAGTATACAGCGCAATCACTGATGTTGGGACTCGAAAATACGTAATTTGACAAAATTTTGGTACGACTGAGGCGGTCGTATGTCCTGGTGGTCGTAAGTCGAGTAGGTCGTAAGTCGGGGAGAGAGTGTGTGTGTGTGTGTGTGTATACTATATGTATGTATGTATGTATGTATGTATGTATGTATGTATGTATATGTATGTGTGTATATATGTATGTATACTATATGTATGTATGTATGTATGTATGTATATGTATGTGTGTATATATGTATGTATATGTATGTGTGTATATATGTATGTATATGTATGTGTGTATATATATATATATATATATATATATATATATATATATATATATATATATATATATATATATATATATATATATATATATATATATATATATATATATATATATATATATATATATATATATATATATATATATATATATATATAAAGCAATAGTTACAAATAAGTTATCTTTTCATATTATAGGAAGATGCTGAAGTGTTGGGAGCATCAACATGTGAGTCAACCAATCAGTTGTTTTGAGTTGTGCATAGTTCAGAAAAAAGGCACACATGGAAGCTACACCCATGTCCAACTGTCCCTCCTGTCTCACAGAGGTGCAGCTGGCTTCTGTGCCAATGTTCTTCCCTCTGTTAGGGGAACTTTTAGTCATGAGACAAACAAAACTATGAATGAGTCAAAATTATCCCCCATGATATGTAAATATATATACAACACACTTTTTTCTGCTTTAATGCATTTTCATAGACTGCAAAACAATACAAATCGTCTACAGATCAGTGTATTTTTAATGAAGCTATATGCATTAAACATGTTCCATAGAAAGATCTAAGGTGTGGTAAAGGTAACAATTTGTTTGAAGAACATAATGAGGCACCCCAGGCAAGAGGTAGACAAGCAGCAAAATGCAGTTAAAGTTTAATAATTTTGATATAAGTACAGTATACAGTAACTTTTAAACTAATATAGATATCTTATTCAAACATTTTAATATATTTATTGAGTTAACTTTCCCTTCAGTCATTATTTAAGGGTCATAAACTTTTACTAACAAAATACACTTCAGTACTTCTAGTTTTATTTATTTCAATAATTTTAAGTTTTGACTTCAAATTTTTCAGCCACTTGTCCAGAGCACCTCAAACACACAATGGAATAAACAAAGCTCACCACTTGATAGAACTGATCCAGTGAACATTCTCGCCACTCTGGGTTAAAAATCTCCTGTGGTGGCCATGGAAACCCGTAGATATTTAAAAGTGGACATTGTATAGTTGGTAAAAAAGTGTACAAATACAAAATGTGAACTGGATACACTAAACCATACTTGGTAAAACCACGGTTGGTGAGGGATTACTGTACAGTACACAGAAAAGAGCATTACACCAAAAACTCAATCACCACACCCAGAATCATAAATCAATGTGTGTGAGGTTTGCCACTTCTAAATTGAGTCACTAAATCAAAGGGCAAGCAATGAATGTGAGGTCAGATCCCAGGTCTAATGTCCTGGCCCATCTTAGAGCAAAAATATACATTAAATTATGCTTGATCTCATTCACTTGCTGTGCCCTGCCAATCTCTGCAGCTGTTACACTGTTTTCAAGACATCTCAATATCTCCAACTTAGTTTCTAATGTTAATATCATCTTAAGTTCTTTCATAACAGTTTCTTTACCTCAGGGGAGCAATTATCAAACAAATGTTGTCACACAATAAACTTCAGGTGCATTCTGGTGCAAGGCATGTTTTCCTTTGATATATTAAGTATGAGAAAGATGACAAAACCAATGCACATCCATGTACCTTTGCCCAGTACCTGTATAGGTGAAATTTGGGGAGTA